GGGAGGCTGCGAGCCCCGCCCCCGGCCGCCCGAGCCCCGCCCATGCAGACCCCCGTCCCTCCCACGATGCTCTCACCAGCCCCACGCCACGCCCCCTCAGGCCACGCCCCCGATGACCCCCGAGCACTTCCGGTCAGTCTCTGGCTCCGCCCTCCGCCCCGCCCCCTGTGTCTGTCTCGCCCCTGCAGGCCCCGCCCCCCCGTGATCCCGCTCACCGTGCCGTCCTCGACCCTGTCCTGGGGGAGCTTTACTAACCTCCCACCGCCCCTCGGCTGGTACTCGTACAGTGCCCCGCCACGACCCCGCCCTTACCAACTTCCACGTCCTGGCCCCTCGCCCCGCGCACGCCCAGAAGGCCGTCCTCCCTCCCTGGGACCCCAGCGTCAGCACGCCACCACGTCTCTGACGCCCGGTTCTTGTGGACCCCGCCCCCCAGGCACCGGCGAGACGCCCACGCTTAGCACCCTGGACTTCTACATGGCGCGGCTGCACGACGCCATCGAGCGCGACCCTGCCCGGCATGAGAAGCTCATCGTCCGCATTAAGGAGATCCTGGCCCAGGTTGCCAGGTGTGTGTCCGGGCAGGCGTGCCCCTGGGGAGCTGCCCCGCTTGCTCGGGGGTATGCCCGGCGGGGGCTTCATCCAAGTAGACCTGCCTTGGCGACCATTCTCCAGTGGGGTTCCCCAGGTCTGGGGGACCTGGTAGCGGGATTTTGCTGTGGGGTCAGGTCCCGTAAGCAATCTGCAGGTGGGGTTTGTTTGGTCCAATCGGCTAATGGTACCTATTGGGGGCGCTAGTGAGTCCGTGTGGGTGCATCGTTGCGCTGGGCAGGGTCTGGACGGCTCCCTGGGCCAGTGGGATCAACTTGGGGAATCGGATCTTCCACAGATCTCGACGTAGGTCCTTCTAGGGGGATCCCGGCTGCCCAGGTTAGATGGGATCAACTCTACGCCCCCTACTCTGGCGCCTGTTAGGAGCTGCATGGGGTGGGGGGGTGCCTCTGGGACTCCCCCAGGATGGGGGTGAGGGCTGAGAGATGATAGGAGTGCCCTATCATGCACCTTCTCCTTTCTCCCCCGTCACAGCGAACACCTGTGAGGGTGTCGGCCGCACGGATCCCCAGAAGACCAAGCCCTGGGCCCAACCCTCTCCCTACTCTGTCGCATGGAGGAGGGGCCAAGGGTCTGCCCTTTGGGGCCAGCCTAATCCTGCACCTTGGGGCTCCAGCCCCCCCAAATTAATCTACAGCATCCCCTAGCTTTTAACCTCCACAGCACCCCCAGCCCAGGAAAAGCACACACCCAACCCACGGCCACAGGTACCCAGAGAGGTCCGCACGCCTCACGGTCCGCCACACACTACAAGGACGCAGACGACACGTCCCCGCGTACTGGGGCACAGCCCCCACAGACGTGGCCGCGTGACCCAGGACACGGTTGGGGTATCCCCGCAGCAATACGTACACCCGGCCACTCCGGTTCTCAGGACACAGGGCAGCCAAAAGCCACACCTCACACCCTGCGCAACACGCAGCTTGCCACAAGAACACAGCGTGGGGCGCAGCCGTGCACAAAGGGAGTGTGCCCGGGTGGCTGGGACCTCTGCCTGTCCCTCCCCTTCTAGCACTCCAGAGTTGGGGGAGACTGGTACCGACCAGCCCCGCCTCTCCCAGCTGAGGGACCCTTCTGGAGGCAGCCCCTTTGCCACTGCTTAATCTGGTCTTTTAAAATAAAAACAAGCAGAATTTGAGTATGAAGCTTGTGAGTGTGTGTTTTGAAGAATGGAGAAGCCAGAAGATATACCAGGGTCCCCTCTCCTTGACAGCCCAGCTGGGGGTCCCAGGCCTGCCAGCTTTCCTCAGGGAGAACTCCAAAGGACGGGCTGCCCCCATATCTCAGATGGGAAAACTGAGGCCCAGGCTTGACCTGGTCACAGAACAAGTCAGGGGCACCATCCTCCCCTGTCCCACTGAAGGCTGTGCTTTGTGGACTCCGCTCTGGTTCTGGGGCTTAAGGAAGCGTAGGAGACGGAGACAGAGTTGGCCCTCCATCCTTTGACTTGGTCTTCCTGACCCAGATTCAAATCCCTGACCCTCCACTTCCTGGCAGGGTGACTTTGGGCAGCTCAGATTTTTTTTTAATTGTGCTAAAATACACGTAAAATTTACCACTTTCACCATTTCCAAATGTACAATTCAGTGGTGCTTTAGTACATTCACGACGTTGGACAACCATCACCTCTATCTGGTTCCAGAGCATTTTCATTAACCACCGCCCCCCCCCGCCAAAAAAAAAAAAACACATTAACAAAGGAGCCCTGGTGGCGTAACAGTTAAGCAGGTGGCTGCTAACCCAAAGGTTGGCAGCCCAAACCCACCCAGTGGCTCCTTGGGAGAAAGACATGGTGATCTGCTCCTGTAAAGATTACAGCTTAGAAACCCCTCTGAGGAATTTGTGAATGAATACCTAGGTAGACAGTATACTATGTAGATGTGGGAGGGTGTACGTGACTACATGCCTGTGCACATATAGGTATGTTGTTAGGTGCTGTCCACTCATTTCCAACTCATAGTGACTGGGTATAACAGAATGAAACACTGCCCCGTCCTGCGCCATCTTCACAGTCATTGCTATGTTTGAGCGCATTGTTGCAGCCACTGTGTCAGTCCATCTCGTTGAGGGGCTTCCTCTTTTTCGCTGACCGTCTGCTTTAGCAAGCATGATGTCCTTCTCCAGGGACTGGTCCCTCCTGATAACATGTCGAAAGTACGTAAGATGTAGTCTCACCGTCCTCGCTTCTAAGGAGCATTCTGGCTACATTTCTTTCAAGACAGATTTGTTCTTTCTTCTCGCGGGCCATGGTATATTTGATATTCTTCTCCAACACCACAATTGACAGGCGTCAATTTTTCTTCAGTCTTCCTTATTCATTGTCCATCTTTCCCATGTATGTGAGGCGATTGTCAGTTGTACCTTAGTCTTCAAGGTGACATCTTTGCTCTTCAACACTTGAAAGAGGTCTTTTGCAGCAGATTTGCCCGATGCAATGCGTCTTTTGATTTCTTGACTGCTGCTTCCATGGGTGTTGATTGTGGATCCAAGTGAAATGAAATCCTTGACAACTTCAATCTTTTCTCCGTTTATCATGATGTTGCTTATTGGTCCAGTTGTGAGGATTTTTGTTTTCTTTATGTTGAGGTGTAATCCATACTGAAGGCTGTGTTTTTGATGTTCATCAGTAAGTGCTTCAAGTCCTCTTCACTTTCAGTAAGCAAGGCTGTGTCATCTGCATATCACAGGTTGTTAATGAGTCTTCCTCCAATCGTGATGCCCTGTTCTTCATATAGTCCAGCTTCTCGGATTATTTGCTCAGCAGATAGATTGAATATGTATAGTTGTGGGCATTTGTATATACATATTTGAATGTACTGAATACATATTCATATATATGATAGAATGAACAAATCTGTCCTGGAAGAAGTACAACCAGAATGCTCCTTAGAAGCAAGGACGCTGAGACTTTATCTCACGTACTTTGGACGTGTTATCAGGAGGGACCAGTCCCTGGAGAAGGACATCATGCTTGGAAAAGCAGAGGGTCAGCGAAAAAGAGGAAGACCCTCAACGAGATGGGTTGACACAGTGGCTGCAACAATGGGCTCAAACATAGCAAGGATTGTGAGGATGGCACAGGACCGGGCAGTGTTTTGTTCTGTTGTCCATAGGGTCGCCATGAATCGGAACCAGAGGGAGAGACTATCACCCTAAGACACCCTTTTAATCCGGAACTGAAGCCACACCCCGAGGTCAACTTCTAACCAAAGAATAGATTGGCCTATAAAATAAACAATAACACCTGTGCTGCTCAGCACAATCAACACATACGCCCAAACTAATCAACAAATCAACCACACGGGCAACACTTGCCCAAAAGCAAAGAGGAGACGTCAAGGAGGGGCAGGGAAACCAGATGGATGGAATGGGGGGGAAGGCAGGATGGAAATGAGGAGAGTGCAGACACATTGCGGGGCTAGCAACCAATGTCATGGAACAACCTGTGTATGAATTGGTGAATGGGAAGCTAATTTGCTGTGTTAACTCTCACCTAAAACACAATAAAATGTTCCAAAAAAAAAAAAAAAAAAACCCTATGGGTCAGTTCTACTCTGTCACATGGGGTCACTATGAGTCAGAATCAACTCAATAGCACTCAGCAGCCACCACCTACTAACAGTCCCTCCCCATTCTCCTGTCTCCCCAGTCCCTGACAACCACCAATCTTCCTTCTAATAATTGGCCTATTCTGGATATTTCATGTAAGTGAGATCATACTGTATGCGGCCTTTTTGGCTGGCTTCTTTCACTGAGCATGATGTTCTCAAGGTTCATCCATGTTGTAGTGTGTACCAATGCTTCATTCCTTTTCATGTCTGTATGGATGGACCACATTGTGTTTCTCCATCACCTGTTGATGGACCCTTGGGTTGTTTCTACCTTTTGGCTATTATGAATTAGCGCTGCAGTGAACACTGGTGTCCAAGTATCTGTTTGAGTCCCTGCTCTCAAGTCTCTTGGGCATATACCTAGGAGCGGAATTGCTGGGTCATATGGTAACTCTAAAGGAGCCCTGGTGACACAGACAGTTAAGTGCTCAACTGATAATTGACAAGTTGGCAGTTGGAATCCATCCAGTAGTTCTGAGGGAGAAAGAGCTGCTCCCATGAAGATCACAGCCTAGGAAACCCTATGAGGCAGTTCTACTCCTTCACATGGGCTCACTGTGAGTGGAAATCAACTTCATGGAACCTAACAACAACCACACGGTAATTCTATGTTTCGCTTTTTGAGGAACGGCCACATTACACCGTTTTCCACAGTGGCTGCACCATTTTACAACCACACCAGCAACGGACAAGGGTTCCAGTTTCTCGGACCCAGGAGATTCTTACAGATGCCTCCTGGTGCCCAGAGCTTCCGTTTCTTCCTCTGAAACCAGGGATTCATTCATTCCCTCAACAAAGCTTGTCTGAGTGCCTAGTGTTTGCTGAGCAGTGTGCACTGGACATGGAGACCCAGTGGGGAACAAGATAGACCAACACCCCTACCCTGGAGCTGCTGACACTACAGTGGGGGAGACCGACGGGACACGAGGCGAAAAAGGAAAAGGTCTGATGAGTCAGCTGGTGCCAAGTGCTAGGGAGAAAAATAAAGCTAGGGAGAGAGATGGGGATGGGGAGTGGGAGGAGGCAACATTTGAGGAGAGGGAGGATGCCAGTGGGGACATCTGAGGGAAGAGCATTCCAGGCAGAGGGATCAGCCCATGCAAAGGCCCTGAGGCAGGACCCGGGCCGGGTGAGTTGGAGGAACGGTGAGCAGGCCCATGAAGGTGTGGCTGGAGCAGAGTGAGCAACGGGGAGAGAGGAGGAGGGGAGGACAGGGAGGGGCGGAGCAGGTCATGCAGGGCCCTGTGGGCCGCGAGGAGGACTTGGGCACACCCCAGGAAAGTGGGGGCCCTGGAGGGTTGGGGAGCCCAGGAGGGAAGAATCTGCTCAGGTTGCACCGGGATCCCCGTCCCTGCCCACCTGCCAGTGTCTTCGGAGAATTTAGTGCTTGAGCGCGCGGGCAGGACCGTGCCTGGCACAGAGGGAGCGTCCTTATTCTTGATTATTGTTATTCCAGGTGCGCACCAGGCCCCCGTGGACCGCCCTGCGTCCCCCGGGAGGGCGCAGCTGGCCTTGGCAGGGACGGACACCTGGGGCCCGCGCCCCTCTCCACTGCGTGCGGTGTCGCCTTCCCGGGCAGCTCGGGTTCCCGGATCCCCTTACCCCGGCGGCTCGGCTGTCGAGCCCTGGACCGGGGGAGGGGAGGCTGCAGGAAGCGGCGGATCCGGCGGCGGCGGTGGCG